GTAGGCCTGATCCCTGCCTCGGCTCTGCGCATCCTCCAGCCGGGCTGGCCGAGCCGGGCCTGCACCTCCTGCATCCCCTTCGTCCGCGGCGCGGGCGCTGGGCCCGATCCCGGCCGCCTCAAGCCCCTTGGGGCGCCAGTAGGGCCCTGTGCCCGAGCTGCGATCCTTCTGCTCCTGGCCAGCCTGGCCGCTGTAGGATAGCTGCCTCCCGGTCAGAGCGCCGGTTCCTCCTGAGCCTGGTCTTTGCACCCTCCCTCTTCTCCCTCAGCCCGTGGGACATCGGCTCACCCTGGGCCTGGTTCTTGCCCCATTTCCTCTGCCCCCATTATCCTGGCAGGACCTCTGACTCCCAGGTCTTGCCTTAGCCCTTTTCCTTTCTTCCCTCCAGCTAGCGTTCTGGGCCCTGGCTTTGATCCTCTGCCCCAAACAGGGACACACACAACCTGATCTCTTGCTGCCCTCTCTTGCAGCAGAGGCCCTGTGTCAGTGTCGGGTTTTCTTGCTGGTGACACCCTTGACGCTGCCTGTGGGGACCCTCTGCCGAGCTGTTTAGAGCCTGTCATGATCTGTCTAGAACTGTCAGCAGCTGGAAGCATTTGCGTGCATTAGTCAGACTTAAACTGTGCTGTTATTCCAGTGCCTGTCCTCGCATGGGATGGGTGAGGACGTATTGAGCATCCAGGCCTCGTTCTCAAACATGGGCTCCTTACCAGATTATCCACAGCTCACCTCCAAGTGGTGGGGTTTAGCATTTGAGCATGAGCATCTGTTCTGCATGTGTCTGTGTCAACTTTGAGTGTCCACAACTGGTATTTGGCTGACTCACTAAGGAGCCTAGGTTTGAAAGACTGGGCCCTCTCAGAGTTTCCTCCTCTGTCTAGGTGCTGCTGCCCAACAAAAGTATATTTATAGTAAAGCCCATAAAATAGTCCAGAAACAATGTTCTGGGACTGCAGTTGCTGTAAGTAGAGTAAGCCTATGTTTTAGTCTTTGTAGCCTTTTTCTGAGGCTACCTGGAAACCTCAACAGAAAATACCCTTGGTATATAGTTCTGCAGTGCAGAAAAACTCAGGCTTCCCCCACAGAAAATACAGTCCTGAGTGTCCCATCACTCTACTGTTGCACTTGCAAGGAGAGCTGAAAGTCTTAACTTTCCTGACTTCATGTTGATCTATTTGGAGAGGCTTTCTAATGGAAGGCCCACAGCAAAAGCTCTGCATTTAATCAGCGCCTTTCACACAGAAGTGTACATAGGTAGGTTTGTGTTTAGAAACTGGTATTCCTAGATATTGCCCAAGAAAAGGAATGTCACATCTTGTACAAAACTGTATTCTTGCTATGGTTTGTATCTTCTCTTCTACTGAGTTATTTACTATTTAAACGCACTCTGACACTTAGCAGGGCTATCCAGGTATTTTGCACTTTGTTTCGTAAGTGAATAAGTGCTTTTTCTTTCTTTGTGTATTGAGTTGCTTTTGAATTGCTTCCCATATTTTTATTTCATACAAACTGAACAATTGTGGCCCCTCTATTTTATTTATAAAGGTTCAGTGTATCTTTGCCTGCCTACATCAATCTGCAAGGGAGTTGCAGAAAAGCCTCATGTTCATCGAGCCGTGAGTCACAACCAATTTTTAAAGCTGTTATAACAAAAAAAAGTGTTTGCTTTTTCTCACGAGTAACTTTAAAAGTGTAGCTTAGAAAGAAGGAAAGAAAGAAAGAAAAAAAGAAAGAAAGAAAACATTTTCAATAGACACTACATTAATCCTGGATGCTTGCAAATCCTAAGCTATATTCATACTTTAGTGTTACACATACCTGTGTCATATACACAGATTAGTTTTAAAATTGTCACATACCATTGCCACTTTGCCTTTACTTTTATGTATCATTCCCCTGACTTCCTTACTGCAGGTGTGGGCAAGAAAACTTTTCCTTTAAAACTTTTCAACAGTGGGCATAAAATTCTACAGCTGAGGTCTTGAAGAATGCAGATGGGTATAGTATGTGTTGGAGCTCGCAGTGTGTATTGACTAACTTTGTTTCTTTTTTCTTTTTTTTCCTTTTTCTGCTTTTCTGATATTGTCTTGTTTAAGTGGCTCCCAACTACAAAATGTCTTCTGGTGGGTGGGAGGTGGGTGGGAAGTACATGTTTCATGTTCCAGGCCAGTACCTACAAGCTTTGTTTTTCACGCGGCCTTGGAGAACACACTACACAATTTGGTTGCCCAAGCCAATTGGGCTAATGCATTAGGTTATTGGATCAGTAAATAGCAGTGGCCTGTAAAGATTGCCAAGCACAGCCCTGTTTTGTGATTCATGGTCCTCTGATAGCATGGGTTTTAGTATCTCCTGTCCCCTACATACTCTTTGTATATTGGGAAAAAAAAAAAGGCACAAAACATTATGGCTGTCAGCCAGGTTGTCTGTCTGTCTCTCTTTTTTTCTGGCTGTGCTGTCTCTTTACATGGATGACAGGTGATAGACACTATTTGGCTTGCCAGCACTACATTTAACATGTGATAGACTTGATGTATAAATGCAAAAATAATGTTTCAGTTGCCAGTTATAAAAAATCCAGAATAATTTATCCCTAACTAAGCTTTTTCAAACAATCTTGGGGAACAGGAAGGTGAAGTATTTTTTTTAATCCGCATATTAAGGCAAAATCATCATACCAACACCTTCATGCTTTTATCAGTATTCTAATGCTTTCTTATTTGAAACCACACCTGAATTTCAGGAGATGAAACCAGACAAAGGGTGAAGTTTACTGATGATCGTGTCTGCAAGAGTCATCTTCTGGACTGCTGCCCTCATGATATTCTGGCAGGAACGGTAAGTGTGAGTCTTTGTAAGTTGGAATAAACTCTGAGTTTGTGGAAACTGTGTGGGATGGATCCCTGTATGATATAAGCATCCTAAGAGGGGCCAGTTAGGAAATATTAGACTCAAATTCTGAATGTTTTAGTGCACAAATTCTAATGTAACTAGTCTCTGACCTAGACATGCAGCTGCCGAAATATCCAGCACAGAATTGACTGGAAGTACTTGAAAATGAGGATCCTAGAAATACTTTCATCTTGACCCCAGATAGTCTTTTCAATTTGAAATAGGACCTAAAATGCCTTTCCATTTCTTTTAAAAGGCACACAAAACTACTTTAGTTTCCAGAGATGACATGCTATATCATCCCATTTAAATATCAGGAGTTTGGTGTGGAGGCGTTTTTTTCTTTTTTTGAGAGAGAGAGGCTCTGTATACCATCATCACAGGTAACACCTAAGAAGTTACGAGGTAAGATGGATAATACTCTTTCCTTTGTAGATCTGTTTTTGATTAATTTTATCTTTGCAGTTTTTTTCTACAAAAGGTAACATAAAAAAGTTTTAAAAAGAAAATGTGACTATAAAATAATATACTGTCAAAGGGACTCGGGTATCAGACATAAGATTTAAAATCAGTTTTCTCAGTTGCTGCATTTGACCAAATTTTATGTTAGTAATATTGTTGAAGAAGGTAGTCAGAATGATCTGTCAAGCCAAGTAGCTTAAACGTATTTAAACTAGCTCTT